GCACTTACATCTATCTCATTAGCTACATAGCTGCAGAGAATAGTAGATGAAAAGATAAGCAACAGAAAAACCTTGCTTAGAAAAATTTAGACAATACCCTACAAATGATATATATTGCACAAGTTTGAGCGGATAACCCATTAATTGCTCACAAGTTTCTGCAAATTGACAGCAAATATAGTCATAAACAATAAAATTATTGCAACTAGTACATTGAAAAATCTTAAACATTGGAACTTCTGACAGTACCATATAGCCATGAATGTTGGTTACCTCGAAGGAAGAACTGCCTGGGGAACAAAAGGAGTATATGCGGTCTCCCTCTCGGCTGCAAGCCGCTGCGCCTTCTGAAACTCCTTTAATACTGCTTGAAAATCTTTTGCAAGTTTAGCATCTGTTATTTTCTTGCTTGCCTGCCAGAAAGAGAATAATTAGATCGATTATAATTGGGGATTGAGGAAGAGAACTTCAACGCTCATATTTATCACTGTACAAGTGTCGAGTAACTAAAAACTTTCGCTTTCAATCATTTACTTTGATATTGTACTCGTATACCTCAAATATAATCAAAAAGACATACAATAGTAACAACCATTGTAAGCGATAAATACGACAAGAAAGAAAACGTGATATGAGGGGTGGGAAGCTTTGCTGCCACATTAACGGTGAGCAAGGAAGCAAACTTACACTGACTTCAACATGATGATCTGTTTCACTAGCTTGCTTAAGTTTAGCAGAAGTATCCTTCACCAATTGTCCAATATGCAGCCTAGTTTTATGCCTGCAGTTGAGTAAAACCAATATAAGAGACAAATTTCCATTAAAATTGGCATTAACTGCATGGAAAAACATATGGCTGCAGGTGGATCGCCATTCACCAAAAGCCCCCAAGAAGATAACTATACATAAACTAGTTCATACCACACAGTTTCATGACCAGTGATAATGAACTAATATTAGATAACCTGTTATATTTCTATTTGCATGGAATTTTTTATGTGTCATCACAGAAATGAATTCTCCTTCCATGTAAAAAAAATAA